TATTAATCTAAAATATTGTGTAAAATTTTATGAAAATCTGACTTCTATATCACTATATAGCTGCCATACAAACGATCGTTAAAAATAGGGGAAAATGCATAACATCTTCAACTTATCATTACTTATTTTCCAAATAGCACGGAACCGACGAGAACAGTTCTTCAATTTCCGGCCTGTCATTCCGTTTTCATATCCGCTGGCGCTCTCCCTTCCCCTCGCCCCGCCCCCGAATTTTCCCCTCACACCACCACTAAAACCATTTGACAGACAAATCAAAGAGACATTTTGAGCGGAAAATTCACCCACAAAGCATCCCACTTTCCACATCCAATCCAGGAGGCCAAGCGAACCAAATTTCCCTGCCTAGCGGTCCAAATTTCCCCTTATTTGATTTGCGAAGTGCTTTTGAGTGCTTTCAGAGACATGGAAATCAATTTGTTTATAATCATTTCATGATAAAGAATTTATTTGAGTTTGAATTAATTTTAAGAAAAGCAAAATAAATATAATAAATATTAAATAATGGAATAATAATTTAAGAGGAATACTTAGGTTTCTTTTAGTTTCTTTTACAAAATGTTAAAATTGAAATTTAAGCGTTTTTTAAGCATAAATTTGTATTAATAATAAGCAGGCTTAAATGCAATTTAGAGTTCTATATTAAAATTTCATTTAAATATGTTTTTTATATGAACAATTTCTTAATCTAGATTATAACTTATATTTAAGTAAAGTACGTAAGTAGGTAAAGTAAGTAAGTAAAGTTAAATATTTAAATTCATTTTTAACTCTATTTTCAATCAAATAATATTATGTTTTTAATATAATCTCTATATAATTTCAAATGCCAAACTAGGCATTTGTGTAATTCTATAAAGGCAACTTAATTCTTTGTTGTACTTTAATTTATATATAATTAAAATAAACTAAAATATATAAGAAAATTCTTAGATTATCATAAGAACTATTCCATTTTTAAGCATTATTTATTTGTAGTTAATTTCTCAATGCAAAACCTTTACAGCTTTTGTCCAATTAATTCTTTTCCACAAACCTATCCAACTTATTAAGAAACTATTTAGTTATTTATGTACCTGATTGATTTTTAATTTAAAACCCAGTTTTCCCAGAAACTTTTAATTGCAAATGAAGGTTCTATATTTAGATATAGAAATTCTCAATCTTGGGGTTGTGGGTTCCTCTTCGATTTCCATCATATTCACTCGAATAAATTCTGATTAGCTGAGCCAGAGAACATGGAAAAATAAAATAAAAAATATATATTCATACATACATAAATGTATACCCCAATTCCCTTATGTTTTCCCCCCCTCGCGACCAGTCCAAAAATCCCGTTTCCGTTTCCTGTTGGAAGGGAAAGGCACAAGAAAAAGTTTTCCCTGAAAAAAACCTGAAACCAACGAAAAAGAGAGCTTGAGAAAGAACATTTTCTTTTCTTTCTTTCTTTTATTTTTTTGCTGGCACAAAAAATAATTAAAATTCATTCGTTTGATTTGCAAGGGCGTCGAGAGGGTGGCTTCTCGGGCGGCCATTTTGTACGCCGGCAGCAAACTTTTGCAACAAACTGTGGCAGAATTAATTAAGTTTCGGGTACGCATGGAAATTTTATTAACAAACTGATAGCACAAAGGGGGGAAAGCGGTGGGGTTGTGGGTTGCCCTGGGAGGACTTTTCCAAGGGCGTAGGGATTTTTTGGGTGGCCCAATGGGTGGGGTACACTGTGTGTGGGGGGGGGGTACAGTGGGGGAAGGGACTGTATAAGTCATTAATAAAGCGAACGCCAACCGACAGCGTCAGTGTTGCACATTTGACAGGCGGAGTGGGGGGGCGAAGGTGGAAGGTAAAGGACTGCACTTGGAGAAATTTTCGCCCACTTTAAAGCAGTTTTTGTTGCAAAAATATCTTGTGAATGTTAAGAAACAGGCTTGGATTGTTTTTCAGTGATTTCTAATATTTAATATACCTTTTTTAAGCTATATTTAGGATATAATCTAACTAAGGGCTTAATCAGTTTCACATTTTCTGTCATGCTGAGAAGCTAGAATGAGTTGGGAATTATATAGAAAAGTCCTTTGCGCTTTGGATGTACAATACGTATTATTGATACATTAAATATTTATTATAAAATACAAAATTTATGCAATATATATTATTTATGCAATAAATAGATTTAAATTTAATGTATTTTCCTATTTATCAATTTATTTTTACATTTTCTAAGCTATGTTAAGCCTAGAGTGTACCTTGGAGACTTTGTATATTGTTTTATGGGTACAATTAATACAATATACAGACATATATATGTATATATTTATTTTATATATGTGTTTACAATGAATATTCTTTAGAATTTTCCTGAATCTTCCCTTGTTGATTTTTAGAGCTATTTTATGACTGCGTTAAACCCATCAAACTATTACAAATAAGTCTAAAATTAAGGTTAAAAACCCTGTTTTTGTTCTCAGTGAATATATATAGAGAAACACAAAGAGAGGGAGAGAGAGACAAGGAGAGACAGAGTGAGAGAGCAAGAGAGATGCATAAGAGCAGAGCGTGGAGGCGAGCAATTAAGTAACCTGCCAACGAAACATCTGACAGATAGGGCGTCGAAAAAAGGGGGAGGATGCCCCCCGCAGTGGGGGGAGAGGGAGAGGGGGCAATATCGAAGGATGATACCATTTTCCAGGAGGTGCTAGAGAGCGGACTGCATTGTCACAGAGAGAGAGAGAGACAGAGGGAGAGAGAGAGAAAGTTCTTTTCCCTCAGAAAAACTCTGGACTTGCTGGGGTTAAGGCAGCCTTTGGGGGGGCAAATGGGTTAAGTGGCCCTGGGTCTGTCTCCCGCCGTCGGCGTCGCTGCCGGAAAATGAATGAAAATGAATGATTCATGCGCAGCAGCCCCGCAAAATTCGAACTCTGTGGGGGGAAATGGGAAAAACTACTACTATACATATAAAATATATATATATACATGTATACATACATAAATACAAATATATATAAAGATATATATAAATATAGTACATGTGGCATCCGGAAAGAGGCGTTTATGTCAACAAATTAAGGGAAAATTGCCACACAATGTGTGTGTCTCTCTCGCACAAGGAGTTTTTCAATTGCAACAATCTCAAAAAAAAGAAGGAAATTCGTAGGGAAATTGCCACAAAATAAAGCCAAGAAAATGTATACAAACAAGGAAAGTACTGCGAAAAACTGCACAGAAAATATAGTAATTAGCAGTAATTACATTAAATAATTAAGAGCTTGACATTGAATGAGAGTTAGTAATGTTTTTTTAATGTTTTTTACCAGATATTTCAATATTTTCAAGGTATTCATCAGTACCAATTATGAAATAATTTCAAAATAGTTTTTAAACCAGCTTTAGTTACATTATTTAAAGTCCAAAAGTCTTATAACTACCCCAAAATTAAATATTTCTAGGGGTTTTCTAAAATATTGAGTTAATATTAATATATATTACATTTTATTCAAGTTTTTAAGCTCAAATATCAGTATTTAATGATAGAATTATTTAATATGTTCATATCTGAAGTAAATTTTTGTTTAAATACATTTAAAATTATAAATTATTATGATTTCCAATAAATTCATCAATTTTCTTAATTTCCCAGTCAAATAAGAACTAAAGTTTTACTCAAAAAACATTAAAAACCCCACCAAAGCCAGAGGCCCTCGCCTTGAATTGGCTAATTAATTGTTAACGAATTTTCATTTTCTATTTGTGTCGCAGAAAATTGCCATTTATGGTTATGGCGCAGCAGCTGCGACGCCGACCGCTTGGCAGCGACGCCGGCAGCGGGTAGAGCATAATAATTTGATGTGCGACAAATTGAAAAAAAGCGCCGCATAACTCCGCCCTGGAAAAGTTCCGTTCGTCCGCTGGCTTGTTCAAAGAAAATTGAAAACTCTTCTCAAGTCGTTCAGGTTTTTTTTTTTGTTGTTGTCGGTGCCCCGCAATGGCGGCGGCGGCGGCGGCAGAGGCAGCCAAAAAAAATTCCCACTATTTCGCAATGGCCAATGGAAGCGGCCATCAGGCATATGGTTGTCTCTCTCTAGCGAGCCATATTGAAAATGGCACTCACACACACACACACACACACAGAGGCAGACAGGTTTTCCTCATAATGAATTAAGCAGACAGCAGCGACGGCAGCAGCAGCAGCAGCAGCAGCAACCGTCGCAGCAGCGCAGCAGTTGATCAAAATTGAAAGAGCGCATATAAAAATTAAGTGGTGGACTTGATGAATTTCCCACTCGCTCGCACTCATAGGCAGCATTGAAAACATGGCAACAATCTCCCAGCCCCAGAGAGAGAGAGAGCAGGAGCGAGAGCGAGAGCGAGAGCAAGAGAGAGGCTGGCCTGCAACCGTTGGTTCTCCGCTTTTAGTGGTGTTAATGCCGGGCCCCGCTCTCTCTCTCTCTCTCTCTCGTCTGGCAACAGCGGTGCCTGTGCCTAGTGCTATCTCCCTTTCGCCGGGCTTCAGTGTTTCCAGGGTTTCCTCGCTGGACGCGTCAATTCCGCTGCTCAGTTCAAAATTTTCACTGCGAGCGTTCTGGTCGCAACCGCGCGCTCTCGCCCCTCGCTCTCTCGCGGCTGACAAAAAAAAAAACACACACACACAAAACTGGGAAAGCTAAGAAAGCTGGAAAGACTGAAAATTGTGTGCTGTAGTTTAATATTTAATTAGTTGCAAAACGGCCGCACACCTACGACATATACATATATTTTTTTAAGCGAAAAACAAAAAAGTAAACAACCCGGAAACGAAAGAAAACCGCCTCGAAACCCTGTGCATTTTTGTATGTGATGGCCAAAAATGGTTTTGGAGACCGAAAGCAAAAAGTTCTTGATCTCGAATAACAATAATAGTTGTAATAACAACAATAATAATAATAACAACAACAACAACAACAGCAGTAGCAGCAGCAGCAGCACCGACAGCCAACACAATAACAACAATAATAACAACAGTAACAACAGTAACAACAACAATAGCATTAAGCAGGAACAGCAGGAGCAAGAGGACGCGGCGGTTAGGAGTTCCACCGCCCAACAACGGGAAAGAACTTCTCATCATTCCAGCCACTTGGCACTTCCAGTGCAACAGCAGCAGGAATCCATTGCCGCTTCCAGTGCCGCCGTTATGCCCTCCGAGGGCCTACATCCGACGGCCGCCCTGCAGCTTTATGCCGCCGCCGCTCAACTGGCGCCCGGCGGTGTCCGTGTCCCGCCCTGGGGTCCCTTCCTGCAATTTGGCGTTCCCGGCGTCTTCGGACCCAATGGTCCGTTCTTGGGGCGCCCGCGTTTCGATGCAGCCGCTGCAGCGGCCGCTGCCGCCGGCGCTGGTCATCCCAATTCCGCTGCAGCCGCAGCGGCGGCCACACAAATGGCGGCGGTTAATGCCAGTAACGCTTTCGCCAATCTAACGGGACTGAGCGCCGCCGCCCTGAGGAATGTGAGCGCCGCCCAAACGACGGCCGTGGCGGCGGTGGCCAGCACCGTGGCCACCATTCAGCACCGTCTGATGATCGGCAACCGGCAGAGTCTGCCGCCGGCGGGGCCGCCCAGCGAGGGATCCAATGAGGATGGCGGTGAGTCCTTGCGATAGGAGGTTGGGAATTATTAGGGCAGCGGGAAATTTTGAAGGGGGAATTTTTGGGAGGAATTTGTAGGGGACAGGAAATGGGGCAACTTTGAGCTACATCTGAGAGTTTTGAAAAATGTGTATTATAGGGATATTATAAATTAACATAGTTAACAAGCAGATTTAGGGATCTTTATTAAATTTGTGTTTGAAATCAAGTTATAGGATCGTATTGAATATCGATCTTAATTAAACTAAATATACTTTCATTCTTTGAATCAATATTTCTCAGAGGTTTTTATATGACAATTTTTCACCAAAATCAAAATTTAAAAATCTCATAACTAAGCCAAAAAGGCATTAATTTAGATTCGGAAAACAGTCCTATGTTAGTTTTTATTAGTTTAATAAATCTCCATACTAAATTTAAAATTTCCAAGAATTACAATTTTTTGTCAATTTTTAATAATTTTAACGATGTAACCCCTTAAAAAAATTTGAAAAAATATGCAAATTTTTGTTTTCTTCCTGAGATAGCTAGATCGATTCGGCTGTTGATGCTGATCAAGAATATATATGATTTACTGGGTCGGAAATGACTCCTTCACATCGTTTCAAGCTTATAACTAAAATTATAATACAATTTAAGGGTATAATGCGAATAAGGAAACACTCTTTAAAAATTATAATATTAAACATTAATAATAACAATATATATAAAAAAATAATTCAATTTTTATCGTAAAAGAATTATTACAACAATTTACTTCTATTAAGGAGTTTATTTAAATATATAATAGATTGAAGCTAGTTAAATATTACAAATATATTTGAAATTCTTTGCAATTAGTTCATAACTATGCCAAGTTCTCTGAAAATGAACTACAAAATGATAACATAAATACTTCAAGTACTATTGTTATTAATTCTTCAAGTAGCACTTTTATTTATTTCATGAATATTAAGTTTATATATAATATCAAACATTTGTACATACATATTATTCTCATTTGTAGCTTAAAGTTAACGTTCCTTTTAGGTCGTTTAGGGGTATCACTTAGAGATCTGATATGTTGGAACCTTTCTTATAAAGCTTGGGGAACTAATTTCATACTAGGTTTTTTTAACAAATCTTAGGGACTTTTCAAAGTTATATTTATACAAAATCGAAAACGGATTCCAATGGAATATCATTTTACTCGAACTTTTTATAAGGTTTATGACTGTGTGGGTGCTTGTATTTTTTCTTGCCTGTTCAATGACTGTTTGAGTTATATCCCATCTCTTTCTACTTGTTCATAAAAAGATTATAAATCTTATAAATAAAATAAATATTTATAAATATATAAATTTTGAATAAATCACTTCACTTGGTTTAATAATTACAAATTGTTGACTAGAACGATTTGAAATCAATCTTGTAATTAATTAACTTGCTCGACTCGGCAATAATCCTTACTAATTGAAGCTGAAATCGCTAGTTGATGGCTAATATATAGGTGCGACTAAGGCAGTATCATTAATTTTCCACACGATATTAATGGTTAGAACTTACGACACATTTATATATATACTATATATTTAATTATAAGCAGCCGTCGGAAAAACTGTCAACTTGATAGGTATATGGAAAATAGGTTCCATTTCAAATTTCTAGTCGTATTGATAACATTCTTTCGAGACAGAACAAAAAATAAATATAAAGAAAATTCTACAAAATTGAAAATGTCTGAAGAGATAGAGATTGAGGAGGCCGAGGACTTCCATAGCTTGGGCTCTAACGAGGATGAGGCTGCCTCTGGCAGTGGCACTGCCGGCACTGGCACCGGCGCCGGTGGCAGCAACATTAACGGTACTGTCCAGACTCGGGAGGATCGCTTTGCGTTGAAGAAGTGGGTGGCACACGCACTGTGGTCATGGGACGTGGCCGTGGATAACTGTGCCATCTGTCGGAATCACATCATGACCTTGTGCATCGAGTGCCAGGCGGATCCGAATGCCCACAAGGATGAGTGCACGGTGGCCTGGGGGGAGTGTAATCATGCTTTTCACTACCACTGTATATCGCGTTGGCTCAAGACCCGCCAGGTGTGTCCGCTGGACAACAAGGAGTGGGTCTATCAAAAGTATGGACACTAAGAGAAGAGAAGAGAGCTGGAGCTGAATCCCCATGTGAGGGAGCTCCAACCTCCACCCTGGTGTTCCGTGATTAGCATATTGCAAAGACAATAAAAAATTAACATATATAGTAGTAATCCTATTGGCATACCAGTATTATTCGCGGTAACAATCAGCTTGAGTCGATAATAGAATTAGTTACTAGTTACTTTCAGAGTGAAGAGAGACTTGAGTTTATTTCACAAAATGAAATAAGCCTTTTGCATAAAGCGTAAAGCCTGGTTAATGGAGGTTATTCAAATTCAATGATCCAATTAAGACTATATTTATGGGATGCTCCTATGGAAACGCCCACTCGTTGGTGTCGCAAAGCCAAACTTTATGAATGGAATCGTATTCATTTAAAGTTTTTTTTTTAGTTGCAAAATAAAGTGATGAAAGATCACTCCTTATAAATTATATACAGAGGGAGGGGAAGAGTTGCAATCGTTGACATGTTGAACTTACGAAAGATCACTCGTTACTAGTTACTTTTATGGAAAGAGAGACAGAGTCTCTGTTGTTGCAGAGTACACTGTTAAAAGATCCCTCGTTTTAAGATGTATAAAGAGAGAGATAGATGCAGTGAAGAATGATCACTCGTTACTAGTAACTTTTAGAGAGAGAGGGAAAGAGCCAGTCGCTCTCGTTACATAATATACTGAAGAGAGACCACTCGTTACTCATTATTAACAGAAAGAGAGTGTGAGAAAGAGTTTACCCCAATTCCTAATGAACGACACGTGTCTGTGGTAACCCAAAATTCACGTCACATCACGTCACTATATTCACAATATATTAATAATAAAATGTTGCAAAAAATATATAGTATGTATGTATATAGAGAAAACAATTTGCATTCCTCCGTCTTTCCCATGAAATCAATTTCCAACGCTGACTTTCGCCGGTCATCAAAGCTCAGCTCAGCTCAGCTTAGCTAATGAATTATCAGGTCTCTCCTGATCGATCCATTTCGGATCGAGTTTCCATTCCCATTCCGATTTCCATTTGAATGCTTGCGCATATAGACTGACAACGCTATCTACAAAGTCGCCATAGAAGTCATCCTGCTCGTTATCGGGGCCCGGACAATATGCTAATTCATTCAATTAGCCCTGCTAAATGCTTTCATTCTCTCGATGTTTTTTTGCCCAGGTTGCTCAACGCTCGGGCCTGACTTTTGCTACCTGCAAAACACATTTATTGATTTAGCTAATCAGCGATCGATTATTATGTAAAGTCCGATTGATTTTCGTTGATTTGTATTTAGCATACAAAGTAGTATGTGAGGAATGTCTGCTGTGCGCCCCCGGAAAAGGTCGCGTCGAGTCTGAAATTGGGTCTCACATCCCCATAAACCATAAATAAACTAACCAAAAATAAAACAAAAAGAGATATAGCGAGGAGAGACCCAAAATCGTGTTAAAAATGAGGCGAAAAAATGAACAACAAACTTTGAATATCCAAAGTGTGAAAGATGTTTGTTTTGTGAAGATATTTCTATGGTTTTATTTATAATTGGATTTGATACCTATAATTATGAAATACTTGGACTTGAGTTTGGGGTTTCTAGGAAATCTGTGTTTAGTTTATAGATTGAATAAGCACTTGATAAGGTTTTGTTTAGATATAAAAAGGATTAAATGATTTTATACCCTTGCAGTGTATTTTAATTTCACTCAGAAGCTTGAAACAATGTGAAGGAGTCATTTTCGACCCTATAGATCATATATATTCTTGATCAGAATCAACAGGGGAATCGATCTAGACATGTCTGGTGGAAAAATAAATTTTTGAATTTTTTTCAATATTTTATCATCAAATTTTACATTGTTAAAATTATTAAAAATTGATAAAAATTTTAAATTTTTAAAATGTTAAATTGAGTATGCATATCTATTGAACTAATAAAAACTAGCACAGAACAGCTTTCCGATTTAAAATTAATGCATTTTTGACTGAGTTATGAGATTTTTAAAATTTGATTTTTCAACCAAATTTACCATGTAAAAATATCGATAAATATCGATTCAAAGAATGTGAATATTTTAAACTTTAAGCAATTGCAAACTTCTGGGGTTTATAAACTTCTCCTAACCAAAGATTATTTCCTTTCTTGTTTTACAACCAAACAATTGTCTTTATAGCCATTCCGTAATCATTATAATTCCTTGGAAAAACTCTTGTTAGCTTTGATGTTAAATATATTATAGTCTTTGATGAATTAACTCTACCTTGTTTTGTGGTAACCGCCGCAACTTTCTTTCTTTCTTTCTTAAGAGAGCAATCACTAGACCCAAAATTGATGGTACGCCATTTGCCTTGATCGTTCCTCCGACTCTAACTCTGACTCCCATTAAGCTGGAGGAGTCTCCAGCTCCTCCAAAAGGTGGCAGCCAGCGGAGGAGACTCCAAGTCCAAACCGGAATGAAGATCAGGCAGAGAAAGAGGCAGAGAGAGAGAGAGAGACCAGACCCAGTCCCAGGCTGTGGCTCATTGACCAATTAGCATTAACAAATGATGGCTAGTTGGTGTAATTATGGCCATAATGCATATATATACCCCAGGTCGGGGCGTTAGCAGGGGGCGTGGTGTGTGCGCCGCTTGTAATTAACTGCACTTGGCATTGGATACTGGATACTCAGAGTGCTGAGGAGAGTAAAGTGTTCTTTCGGGGGAACTCTAATTAATTGCAGCCAACGCAATGCATCGTTGTTGTTATTTTTTGTTTTTTGGGGGCACTTCTCCTCTTAAAAAGTAATTATTAATTTGATTTGATTCAATTTTGATTGGGGCAGAGATTGTGCGAGATTTAGCATCGAGTGGGTGCAATCCGGGGGAGGCAGTCATCCAGCCACTCAGCCATATGCTCATTAATCATTTTGCGGAGCTCACAGAGTTGACATGCAACTGAGCTGAAAAATGGGATGTATGTATATGCTTCGAGGGGGAGGGGGAGGAGAGGGTGGTGCCTTTATATACATGGGCGTGGGCGTTGGAATTGCTACGGGGATTGAAACGAGAATGGGGACATCATTATCATCATCATCATCATCGTCATCAGGCACATGACGTTCCTCATTTCACGCCGGAAATGAAGAAACTGTCATAAGGCGATCGAAATCATTTATCATGCGATTTTTCCTTCACCATTTTGTTTTTGTTTCTGTATTATATATATTTTTGTTGGGCTACCTTGTCTTGTTTTCTGGTCCTAATGAATTCCGCATATAACCAAAAAAAAAGAAAAAAAGTTCTGCTGTTTGAGCACTTCCGTTTCGCCCCAAAACGGAAGTTGGAACGATGGAATGATGGAATACTGGACTGACTGACTGGAATGATAAATCGTTTCACAAATAGATTCTGCCGTTAGTTTTAATAATAATAACAAGTATTTCCGTTTTTAATGGATTTTCTTGTTTTGTTCTTTATACATGGGAACTATAGTTTTAATTTTTGGGATTTATGGAAATGGGAATGAGTGAGATTTTGCTACGTTTTCAAAGGGAAATTGATTAATTGAGAAATTACAAAGGCTTGAAACTCCTTTTTTTATAAATAAAGAGAGAGAGATAACTTAATTATGTGATTTACAACTGGAAATTAAAAAGTGTTTTTGAGATTTCAGTTGACCTAATGTCTTGTGCCAATTAATAATTCCTTTAAGGACTTCTTTGCCAGCTTTTACTGAACAGCAATTAGCCAAGGAAAAGGTTATTTTTCTTAACCATTCTCCTTTCTTTTCCCTTTTGTCCTCCATAAACTTTTTAGTAGTTCTTTCTCCTTTACCGTTTTTAACTTGCCTTTCCTTGTCCTTCCTTTCTTAAGTTCTTTTCTTTTTATATTTTGTTTTATGTATATATTTTCGCTTTAATTTTTATGACTTAAGTGGCTCACCCGCGAGGATTCGAGGGATGGGTTCTTAAGGTGTGTGTTTGAGTGTGTTTGTGTATGTTTGAGTGTGTGTGTGTGTGGGTAACTGTTATATTGCCTGGCTGACGCGCGCTGTAAACGAAAATAACATGCCACGGAATGTGACTGAGGCATGCAACAACACTCGTTTCTTCTGATTTAGCCGCCTTCTCTCGTTCAATACCCTTTTGGATGTTGGGGTATTGTTGTGATTTTCACTTACTTTGGGTTGCATATTAAGGGATCTTTGGGTTTTATTTGAGATTTTAAAGAGATTGAAAGATTAAATGCCATTTAAATTACAGTGATTTTTGATTAGTTAATTATTCTTTTAAAAATACATTTTATATTAGTTAATAATTTCAAGAACACTCGCTGAACCTTAAAATAACGAGTTTAATGACATTTTTCGAATGCATTTTTAAATGAAAACTCGTTAAAACGTGAAAAACAATGATTTTAATTATATTTTTGAAGATCATAATAAATATATATAGCAATAAAATTGAAATTTAAAGCATTTGTATTAAAAAAGATCTCTGAAACTTAAAAGTACCTTATTAATGAAAGTTTTCAAGAGAATTTGTTATATTTTGGATATTTACTAAAGTACAAATTAACGAAAAAGTGTGCTTTAAGCTTCGTATCCTGGAAATTCCCACTCCTTAATGCCTCCACTTTGTTTCTGTTTCATTTTAATTTTCGGTCTTTTTGGGCTCCATTCGTTTTGTTTGCCGCTTTTGAGGTTAGGACGAGTGAGCTGCATGTGTGTGTGTGTGTGTGTGTGTGTGTGTGTGTGTGTGTGACTATGCAATGTTGCCAAATTGCAGTCTGGCTGACATCAAATTTTTGGGGAAGTTGCATGCTGCACAATGCTGCACATTGGCTGTGCGGCGTGCAATAATCATAATAAATTTCAATTACCCTTTTTGGCATTGGCTCCCACACAAGGTAGTACACCCGCCGAAAAAAGAGAGGGAGAGAGAGAGAGAGAGAGAGAGAGAGAGAAAAGAAAACATAAATTATGTTTACCACCACCACCTTCCCTCCTTCCTTGAGGTGGGCTCTGTTATTATTAAGTCATTTGAATGCACTTTGTGGGCCGGCCATCTCGCTTGCACTTGCATTTCGTTGTCGCTTTTCATTTAATGTCTCTATTATTGTTGTGTATTTGGTGTTGTTATTGAGTTATTAACACACACACACACACTCACACACTCTTGACTCCTGCCTTTCTCTCTCTCTCGCTCACTCAAAAACGTTTTGAAAAACAAAACAAGTTTGATGGAGCGAGATGGAGATAGTGACGTCGTGAAGCGTTACAGTGCGGCACGCATAATTAGGTACACTTAACAGGCAGAATGCAAGCCATTCATTAGGGGCGTCCTCTTGTTATTGCGCTTTAATGCTGGTTGTGCGTATGTAGGTAGTCGGTTCGCAATTGTGGCAAGGCCGCCGCCAAAAGGGGGGAGGTGGGGTGGCCATCTAAATACCGAAATTAATGTGATTACAAAGTCAGCTGTGGCGGCGCTTTGGATGCGTTTCTTTTTTTTTTTTGTATTTTTTATTCACTCGTTTTCGTCACTCTTCTGGCCGGATACAATGTAGCACAGCCACTAAATGAGTGATTGCATGGCTGCGTTTCCACAGAAAACAAAAAAACTCAATCGCAAAGGGTATCGATTAACTCGATAGGCAGTCGTTATGCAACACACAAACTCGATGAGTTGTATTCTGAATTAATTTCCTGGTGGCATGCTTTATTCATGCCTCCGGTGTTGTAATTTTCAGCACAAGAGTGTTTTTATGTCCTTGTTTAACCAGAAAAAAAAGTAATCGTTAAAGATATCGATTAACTCGATAGGCAGTTGTGATGCAACTTTTAAAGTTTGGCTGGAAAGTCTTTTACAGTGCTAGCTGTTGTTTAATGTTTTATTCTTGAATATTTCTTAAGCCTTAACTGAACATTTTGGTACAGAAAAATGTCTTTTATTTATCTAACTTTTAACTTATTTTTCTCATATATAAATTTTTAGTTGCAAAAAATTATTTAATTTCCAAATCAATTGAATAGAAATAATTTATTTAATCACAAAAAGCGTTCCTCTTTCACTGCCCTGCACTGTGCTTCCGTCCAGTGTTTCTGGCCAAAATCTAATACCCGAAAACACCTTGGAATTGGGACTGGGACTGGGACTGGAACCACTTCCACTTCCACTTCCCCATTCCCGTTCTCCTTTCCAACTCCCTTTTCGGACCCAGAGAAGATCGGAGTTAATTTGATAAATTGCGGGGCCTTTTGCATGCATTCCGCGCCACGCCCCCTTTCGGGGGTATAATCTAAATATAGAAAACTATGTATATGCATCCTTTGGATCGGATCAAAAAGGGAAGGAGCAGGGGAGCAGGGGAATAGAAACGTAATTAAATTGTTTCGTTTTTATTGTGAGCCGCCGGCAGTGGCGGTGGCTGGGAAATTGAGAGGGGGAGATAGGAGGGGGACTCTCTGGTCCCGGTCTGGTCCCTTTGGCGGTGTAATTGAAATATATGATTATGAATATTTATGCATTCAATGTGTGTGTCTGTGTGTGTGTGAGTTAATTTAAATAATAATTTCCCAACACTTAATTATAGGGTTTTTAGTGTCGAAGAACAAAGTGTTTTGCGCCCATATTTTCTCTGTGCTAGTTTGTTCTTGCTTTTATTTTTTGGGTTTTCCCCAGAGTGTGCGTGTGCTAGTGTGTGTACGAGGGGAGGAGGAGGGGGAGGGGTTAGTTTTTGGCAACACCCTAATTAGTTTTAATAAGCCAACAACAACAACCTCCCCCGTCAAATGTTAATGACTTGATTCTGTGTGAGTATGAGTTTGGTTTGGAATTTATTTACGAGAAAAAAAAAGGGAACCCGTTTCTAATTTTCCTGTTAATTTCCCTTGCAGGCTTTCCCGGCGACGGTGATGATGATAGCAGCGCAGCAAAACGCCGCAGGTCCCGCACCAATTTCAACTCCTGGCAACTGGAGGAGCTGGAGCGAGCCTTCTCCGCCAGCCATTATCCGGATATCTTTATGCGAGAGGCACTGGCCATGCGGCTGGATCTCAAGGAGTCGAGAGTTGCGGTGAGTTTAGTTTCGATTGGAACAAGCTAGGGGATTTTTTATACATTTTACCAGACGTTTATAGTTAAAGCTTTAAAATTGGGTTTAAAAATCTATATTTTATTGATTGAATCAAGGAAATATCTTTATTAGTTCATTAAAGTCAAGAGTTATTGATATTTTCAATCACATTTCATGATGGATTTATAATTTAAAGAAATATAATATAAATAGGAACTTTTTTATGTAATGTATAATGAATTATTGCTGTTAAAACTTTAAAATTAGTCGCAAAAATCTATATTTTATTGATTGAATCAAGTAAATATCTAAAAGAAATCATTAAACTTGATAGTTATCGATATTTTCCATCAGATTTAATGATTGGTTTTGTAATTTAAACAAGAAAAATATTATTTTAGATATTATAATTGTTAAAACTTTGAAATTGTATTTAAAAATCTATAGTTTATTGATATAATCAAGTAAATATCTATAAGAAATCATTAAACTCAATAGTTTTTGATACTTTCCATCAGATTTCATGATAGATTGTGAATTTGAAGAGTTACAATATAAATAGGAGCTCTATTATATTAAATTATATATTATTGTTTTTAAAACTTTGATATGAGATGAAAAAATTAATTTTTTAGTGATTAAATTAAGTAAATATCTATGATAATTCATTCTCCTTGATAGTTTTTGGTACTTTCAATCACACTTCATGATTGATTTTGTAATTTAAAGAAGTAGAATATCGATAGGAGCTCTATTATTATATTATATTATATTATATTATATTATATTATATTATATGTTAATATATCTTATATACTATATATATTATATGTATTATATATTATATATACATATGATATATTAATTACCCGTTTTTGAGCACCTTTGCTGAGATTATACGCTTTGTTCCAGATAGGTATGGTTCCAGAATCGACGTGCCAAGGTCAGGAAACGTGAGCACACCAAGAAGGGACCCGGTCGCCCCGCCCACAATGCCCAGCCCCAAACCTGCAGCGGTGAGCCCATTCCACCCAATGAGCTCAAGGCCAAAGAGAGGTGAGTTGAAAAAATATATACAAATAGATATATATTTAAAACCTTAAAAAAATAGGGGAAAAACACTAAACCCTTACACTAGCTACTCTGAATCTCTATTATTTTTAAATATTAACTTGCAAATAAAACAAAACCAAATCTTAGACCGTGATTTACTGATAAAAAGTATAAATTTAATGACTTGAAATATTCAAATTGCCATTTGCAAGCTTTTTAAACTTAATTAAACAAACACAATGGCATTATTCGATCATCTCATGTTTATGATTTCTATTTAAACTGTTAATAAACATTCTCTTGATATCTTGATCTTTTATAATTTATTGCCAAATATGTGTGTTGTGTTTTTTAACACTCGTAGAAATGTTTTTTATACTCTAATTTTATTTAGAAGACTCAAAAGCAATGAAGGAGTCATTTCCGACCCTATAAATCATATATATTCTTGATCAGCATCAACAGGGGAATCGATCTAGCCATCTTAGGAGGAAAACAAATTTTTAAATTTTTTTCAACAATTTTTAAGTTTTTAAATTTAAGAAAAAAAGTTGATAAAAATTTGAATTTTTAAAAAATTTAATTGAGTATGCAGATTTATTAATCTAGTAAAAACTAGCATATAACAGCTTTCCGATTGAAAATTAATTGATTTTTGGCAAAGTTATGAGATTTTTAAAACTTTAATTTCTTAAAAAAAAAGTCATATAAAAATATTGTTAAATATGCACTCAAAGAATGTGAATATTTCAAGCTTAGTGTGTTTAAAAGTGGAAATAGAAATGTAATTAATAAATAAATACAAAAAAGTTAAGATTACAAGATTATTTAGAGGGCTTTCCTATACTTTTTCCCTTTAAAATTCTTAGATAGACCCTAAATTAACCCATTTCCCTTTTCCATCTTTTGTATTTTTCTCTAAAAAATTAGAGCTCGTCGTCGAAAGAAGCTGGCCAAGGCAATCGACCGGCAGGCAAGGAAGCTCCAGGCGAAGGGCATCACCGTGGACCTGGAGGCCCTCAAGGCCGAGTACATATCACAGCACAAGGCGAATGGCACCTTCTCCGACTCGGATCTCGAGGACGATGGCATCCAGATCGATGTGGTTGGTGGCACGGATAGCGATGATGAGCTGGACAGTGATGCAGTGAGTCCTGCTCGGATGGGTGCCGCATCCTCGTCGCAGCAGAACTCTTCGATCCATTGTGGCATGGATGGAGATGGGGATAGTTCGCGGGCAGGAAGCTTCATTGGTGGAGGTGGAAGCTTAGGGAGTCCCAGTTCCGTGGCACCGAATTCGATGCTATCGAATGGAGGAATCGGTGGTGGAGGAGGCGGTGGTGTCTTTGGTAAACTGGAGCCCATGGATGGTAATGAATCGGAGGACCGGGATCGGGATCGGGAGCGGGACTCGCCGAAGCCATTGCTCTTCCCCGCCAAGGCCTTTCATCAATTGAACCTGCAGAGCCAAAGCCAACAGCAGCATGGTCAGCATGGTCAGCATGGTCAGCATGGTCAGCATGGACAGCATGGTCAGATCCTCCAGCAGCACCAGCTTCATCATTCCCATTCGCATCATGGCAGCAATAGCACCACCTCGGCAGCGGCGGCGGCGGCGGTGGCCAATTTGGTGCATCAAACTTCACCGATTAGCATGCGTCGCAGTAATCCCTTCAGCATCGAGTCCTTGCTGTTCAACAACACGTGAGGCAACCATGGAAGGATCTGTATCCGTGTCCTTTAACTTCGAACCTTGTCTGCATCATCATAACTTTGATTCTCTGCGTTCCTAGAATATTTTGCTCATCCTAGAGTTTTCCTTTTGAGTTTTTCCCCACCCTCCCACCAAAGGCGTTGCTTTCCCCGGTCTCCCCCCCCCCCCGCCCTAAATGTAATAATCAATTGTTTAAAATAAAAATATCTATGATTTATGCTGCAATGCTGGAAGGGGGCTTTGATCTATGTATCTTCGGTTGAGAGCTTGAATATTCCCATAAGTGATTTATTTATTTCAAATATAATTTATATACAAATGCATTTTTTTTGTTTAACTGTAGGTTCCTTACATTTTTTTTTTTTTGTTTAATCTTAGAACTTGTTCCCAGACAGAGACTAAATTAGTGTTGTAAATGAATTTATTATTTGTACTTCGTAAATATATATAAATCTATAAATATAACCCATTTTTTTTTAGAGCGGCTGATGCCCAAAGCAATGCTTGAAACATGAATAATATAATTATAATTATGTAATAAACAAATATCGAATAAGGACAATTTTTTTTCCCCAGTGTGAAAGTATGAGAAATTGTGTGTGTGCGTGTGTGAGCCTGTGTAAAAATGTAATTTAATTTAGCAAAAAAACAAGAAAAGAAAACTTAAAAGAAATCAATTAAACAAAAAAACAATGGAAATCCCAGAGTTAAGTAAGCGGAATTTTTTTTTGTGTAAGAGAGGAGAAAGTATATATTACAAATATGATGAAACACAATATTAAATATAGAAATGCAAAGACATGGCAAAGAAATGGCTGCTATAAAAAATGATATTGTATCTAAAAAGAAACAAAACAAAACACACACAAAACTGATGATTGTCAAACAAGAATAAAATGCGAATCTGTAAAGAGAGAAAAACCACATAAACAAACCAATTACGATTATCATTTATCCCTCCCCTCCCCCCTCCGAGCTTAGTCCTTCGTCCTTGTCCTCGTCCTTGCAAAAGCCACCCGAATCGCGGTTCAAATTCAATAAACGGCAATTTAAATGGCATCAAAAACAAAAAAAAAAGAAAGAAAAATACACTCAAAATCAGAAAACCCCCAAAAGTGTTTTTCTTGGGAAATGGCCTGCAAATTGGGGCTCTCATCATCATCATCATCTTTATATGGCGGCATTAAAATTAACTACTGGACATATAAATTTTACTTGGCCATCAAAACCGAAAGGGTTCAAGCTTGTTTTGCCCAGAGTCTAAATAAATCGGAAAATGCTGGGGATTTTTCTTGAATTTCCTTTAGAATTGAATATTCTTTAGATTTGTGTGCATTTTTCCAACCAATTTTCGACGAAAATGCTGGAAAATATGGTGAAAATCATTCTAATTTTGCAGGAAAATAAAAAAGAGATAGATTGTCTATGGAAATTATTGGGAATTTATTTTTTTTTTAATTTGTTTATGTGTTTTTATATTTTTGGAAGCCAATATAATTAATTCAGAAGTTTGCAAAGTTGTAAAAGTTTAGTTTTCGACCCTATGAATCATATACATTCTTAAGGATAGGATACAACGAAGTTATAACTATTTTCTCAGTATTTTCCGATCGTTACTATGGTAGCTATATGATAAAGTCGTCCGATTTTTAAAATAAATTTTAAAGAAAATTTTAAAATAATACAAAATAGCTATAACTAAAAAATTTGATGAACATTTGTTGAAAACTGGTAAAGTTATAATTTTTTTCTAAATGTTTTCCGATCGTTCCTTTGGAAGCTATATGATATATTTGTCAAATTTTCATAAAATTAAAGGCGAAATTGTAGAATACTAAAAAATAGCTGTCTGAAATTTGATAAAAATTTATTGAAAACTAAAAAAGTTATAATTGTTTTTCTAAAAGTTTTCTGATCGTTCCTAAGGCAGCTATATGATATAGTCGTCCGATTCTGCTTAATTCCGACTTATAAACGAGTAAGAGTATACAGAAAACTAACTGTAGTGTTTCACTTAGATAGGTTTAAAACTGAGAGACTATTTTGCATAGAAACGGACAGACGGACGGACAGACGGACATGGCTATATCGACTTGGCTGTTGATGCTGATCAAGAATATATATGTATACATACTTTATCTGGTCAGAAATAAGTTCTTCAATGCTTAGGAACGTTCCAAATAAAATTAGAATACCCTGCTAAGTGTATAATAAATTAATATTGATATGTTGTTTACCCTAAGTTAGTTTCTTTTTTAATTATTTATTTATTATTATTATTATTATTATTCATTATTATTATTAATTATGTTTATTATTATTATTCATTATTATTTATTTTTTCGTTTATCCAATTAGGAAAGTATGGTATAAGCTAGCGACCAACCATTAGACAGAAAGTGGATCGTATTTCCAGAAATAATTAGAAACATGAGTGTTTTAGAAGAGTCCAGCTGAATTTGGCGACATCACCGAGGATGCTCTCTCTCTCTCTTGCCCACTTCGCTGCATCCCCTCTCTCGCCTACACTTCGCCGCATTCCGCACTCGCAGAGCGCTTCTCCCACTCCTGTCATTTACTCCAACATCGCTGGACGAAGCGGACGAAAAAATATCGCTGACCAAGGAGATCGCTGAAAACAAGGAAAAGCGGAAAAACTCTGCCAGGTGTTAGAAGTGCGTGAAAACAGTGAGCTCCGACAGTGGAAAGTGTTAGTAAAGTGGGGGCAAGGTGAGAAAAGCCCCAAACCAAAGAGGGGCTCCTGTCGCGATTTTTTTTCTTGTGTGTGCATAGCCAAGATCAGTGCATTGTTTTTGGCTATTGAATTTTGTTGTTTTTTTTATGGTGAACCTAAAGAATAAGGTATAAGTGGGTATGCAATGCCTTCTTATTTTCATAATCTAATTCAAAGTTTGGACCTTTAAGCAACAGCAATAACAAGCAATATAATCTGGTGAGTGAAACACAACTTTTTCCTATTTGCTCGTATCCCCGTTAGTTTTTACGCGAAAACCGTTGCAAGTGCCGTTACTGAGCTTGCTTGCTCTCGCAACGGAATGTGGAACCTAAGAGCGAGAGAGTGGGCGGCTTAGAGCATTACGATCCACTCTTGTGGTTCTTAATTTTCACAATTGGATCGTTGGGGAAGCCGCCTTTGTTTACCTTTTTTTTACTTGCAAATTGGGAATAAAAAACCAAAGTAAATGCAAAGGAAACTTAATGAAGACTAAACTTAGATAATTATCAAGCTTTTTTTTTACAAGTTATTACTATTTTGGGATTAAATTTAGGCTATAATTATTTTATACCCCTTTCACTTGATTTTCTGAGCTTCTTAAAAAAATGTGCTTCACTGAAATGCAATTAAAAATGTAAAGAATCAGCAGTGGCATTACCAAAATTGGTAACAGTGGCACTCATAAATCAGACCTCAACATATAACCGATATGCGGTTAATCAGGGGCGTTGCAGAGGGGGGCAAAGAGAGTATGCCCCCGTAGGGGGTCTTAAAAACGGAGGAAAGGAAACCAGAAAACCCCGCCAAGTGTCAATTGAATTTGCATTCGGGCTTCGCCCAATCTCCATGCAAAACGGTATATATCAAACGGAGGGGGCAGGGGCGTCGCTGCTAAAAGGGGTGGGGGGGGCCGAGTGAGAAGAACCGACAGTCGGCTTTCATGGGAATATTTTCTGTGTAGTTCATTTCATGGCAATTTTATTGCTTATTAATTTTTCAGTGTTCGCGCTTTGCCTTCTCGTCTCCATGGCCTGCCCCCGGGGCGCTCCTGGATGCCCCCGCCCCTTGCCTCTGCCGCTGCCCCTGCCTCTGCCTCTGCCTCTGCTGTGGCATGCTGTTAATGGCTCCTCGCCGCCTTGGCTGTTATTTGTTGCTGCCTGTTGATATGATTATTACGTTTATGGATTTTAATAATTGTGCATGATTTGAAAGATTTTCCACATCGTCTTCAGATCCGAGAAGATCTTTAGATCTCTTCAAGAGACAAGACGCGACTCGTGCCCCCGTGGCGCATTCATAACTTCTAAAGCATTTCTCCATCTGCCTTTTTTTTTTTGTGTCTCAATTACTTTTCGATGCAAATCAAATTGACCGCTCTTAACTATTCTTCACACGTTTTTCATTAAGTCTATTTGTGCGTATTTGTAGCTGTTGTATACAAAATAGTTGGTATCGAAAATCAGAGTCCGATTCGAGTTCATTCCCAGCTCCTTAAGCTTTGCTTTTTTCTCTTTTTGCTTTGCTTTTTGTTGTAAATGGGATTTTTATTGAGCTGAAAATATATTTTTGTTAAGCTTATTGTTCATTGTTTGATTGTTTATGGGGAGAAGGAGGAGGAGCAGGTCAATCGGAGTTTTAATGCCGGGTTAGGGCTTTGCGGTTCGCGAAATGCGCTACAAAAAATATAAACTTTAAAAATTTAATGGAATGGCATTAAAAAATCACAAGTACTTTAAATATTTTAAATATATTAATTGAAAATTCAGATTTAACACACAAAAGTTCACATTGATTAAGTTTGATTGATTTTTTTTAGCTTAGTAATGAAATTTAATGAATTTAAGCAATGATTTCTCCTTTAAATTGTTTTATTATAAAAATATAATAGTAAATATGGATTTCCTAACTTTAGAATGTTGACTTTTTGGGTTCTCATATACATACCTACAAGAAATCCAAAAATTCTAAGGTATAAAAAATCGATATTTTTATAAGCTCATTTTTAGGGCAAACAAATGTTTTTTTATTATCATAACTCAGCCAAAAAAACATTAATTTAAATTCGGAAAGCGGCCCTATGTTAGTTTTTAGAGGGCTAACAAATTCGTATATAAAGTTTGAAAATTAAAAAAAATTAATTTTTTTGGTTTGATTCTGACAATTTTAACGATGTAACCCCTTATAAAAATTTGAAAAAATTTCGAAAATTTATTTTTTCACCAGACATGACTAGATCAATTCGGCTGTTGATGCTGATCAAGAATATATACGGTTTATAGGGTCGGAAATGACTCCTTAATTGCTTTTGAGTCTTTTGACTAAAATTATAATACCTTCAAGGGTAACATAATATTAAAATATCTTTAAATACCGATTTAATATGCCTGAAAGTTAATTGTCAAGGTATTCACTTTAT